AGCGTCTATGAATAATTGCCATTTTCATACATGGTCACCCATTTTCAGAGGCCTGGAAAACTTCACTCATTTTAAATACAAAGACTGGATGTAAGACTTCTTTTGCACTCAGTGCTTAAGTCTAGAGCCCAGCTCACTTGAGCTGCTCTAGGTCTTCACTGCAGATGCCTCCAGTTTCTGCTTGTTTGTGGGCCATTCTGTATTCAGTTCATGAAAAGAGTGTCGAGAGTTATGGCTTAGCAATTAAAAAATATCCCTGAGAAGCTCTTGGGTTGCTTTTGCAGTATGCTTTGGGTCATTATCCATTTGGAATGTGACGTGCTGATTCCGGGCAGAGAGTAAAGCCCCGTACACTTCTATCACCGGTCACATCAGCTGCACTGTATCCATATAAGCCCATGAGACAGCATTGTCTGACGGTAGATGGACTGATTCTTATATAGCGCTTCTCTACACAACTGGAGCACTCAAAGCGCTTTATACAGTATGCCTCATTCACATAATAACTTTTTTCTAAGTGCTCTCATACTCCATTGGATGCACCAGAAAACAGCTTGGGGTTGAGTATCTTGCCCAAGGTCATGCAGATGCAAGAAGCCAGATCTACCTCCTGAGAGCATGATGATGGTTCGGATGAGCTCTCTATAGCACGCTTTATGCTATAGACATAAAGTTTTATCTGTTCAACCAGATTTTTTCCCCACAGCTGTGCAGGATACTTAGATGTTTCATGAGAAAGCCTTCTTTTCCTTGAGTGTACCGAGTGGATTGCACCTTATTATAGTTCCATTCATAAACTATAATATAAATCTGATTAATGGACGGCATGCCTACTTCCTCATGAATATTTATGCCTTAGTTAGATGTTAAGGGTTTTCCCACCAAGGAAAGAATTCTGAAATCATCCACTTTAGTTGTCTTCTGTGATCGTTTGGGCCTTTTTAGTGTCACTGAATAGACATTTAGTCCCTTTAAGAATGTACCATTAAGTTGGTGATTTGACCGACCCCTCCTTAAGTTTTTGCTCTTTGTCTTATGCTATTGTTTTGCATTTTTCAGCCTAATTATGGGCTTCTTCAATTGCTTTGATGATCCTTGGACCTGATACTGAACAGCCTCATCTGGCATCAAACTGACTCTCAATCGTAGGAAATCATCTTACTTTTGAGTGTCTAAAAAAATGGGGGGCTATATTATATAGTTTTGCTGTTTAAGATCCACTGTGGTGATGTGCAAAACAAGTAAAAGTAGTATTGTCCAAAATCCTGTAGATATGTTGGCATGTTTACCCTTTGTGTCGTATTTCCGTTCAATAAACCACTGAAGAGACTGAAGTCAAAACAAGTAGACAAACTCTTTCATGTTTTAATTATAAATTTATTACATAATATAACAAACATATATCTCTGTGGTGGAGATATCCTGGGCAACATCTCAGATCTTGCCTCAACCTTTACTATCTCCCTTACTCTGCATGAGGAATACTAGGTAGCTTCTGGTTAACTCATATTTGTACACGGGATTTTGTGTATTAAAATACAGAGGGACTTTTATATGAATATTTTTAAGTGTGCAAAGGGAGAATAATTGCAGATGAGTTTTCTGGTCATTTGATGCCGATAAGGGGAAGCTTAACCCGTGAGACAAGGCTGAGGTGTTGCAGTGATACATCCACCAATCTAAACTTCACAGTGCAAACAAGGAGAAAACTGACAATGAAAGAAAAAAAACCCTTTTGATGATAAGATCACTGGTTCCATTTGGTCACTGGACTCCAGTGGGTTTTTAAAAAAGGTCACGCTGCTGCCCCTATACTATGTAGATTGTGCTTTGTTGATTACAAAATAAGACAAAGATAATCCTTCAAGGAAATTATTTGACCAAATGATGTGCACTTCTGTTACACTTTGCTCATTTTGAGTCTGTATCTGTGGTAATCTTAGCCACCGGTCCAAGCAGTTATTTAGTACAGCACTTATTCTCCTAACCAGGCCAGGCTGTGTCAAACTTCAGACTGCATATGTTCACCCTTTATCACAGTAAATCAAGCAGTTGTCTCCAAATTTCATTTAAATCAATAATTTAATAATACAGATATTAATTAATATGAGAGTATATATATATATATATATATAT